GGAAATTGGGGTTTTAAGGGTTGGAAATTGGGGTTTTGAGGGTTGGAAATTGGGGTTTTAAGGGTTTGAAATCGGGGTTAAGAGGGTTTGAAATTGGGGTTTTGAAATTGGGGTTTTGAGGGTTTGAAATCGGGGTTTTGTGGGTTGGAAATTGGGGTTTGGAGGGTTTGAAATTGGGGTTTTGTGGGTTGGAAATCGGGGTTTTGAGGGTTTGAAATTGGGGTTTTGAGGGTTGGAAATTGGGGTTTGGAAATCGGGATTTTGAGGGTTGGAAATCGGGGTTTGGAGGGTTTGAAATCGGGGTTAAGAGGGTTTGAAATTGGGGTTTTGAGGGTTTGAAATCGGGGTTTTGTGGGTTGGAAATTGGGGTTTGGAGGGTTTGAAATTGGGGTTTGGAGGGTTGGAAATCGGGGTTTTGAGGGTTGGAAATTGGGGTTTTGAGGGTTTGAAATTGGGGTTTTGAGGGTTGGAAATTGGGATTTCGAGGGTTTGAAATTGGGGTTTTGAGGGTTTGAAATCGGGGTTTTGTGGGTTTGAAATCGGGGTTTTGAGGGTTTGAAATAGGGGTTTTGAGGGTTTGAAATTAGGGTTTTGAGGGTTTGAAATCGGGGTTTTGAGGGTTTGAAATTGGGGTTTTGTGGGTTTGAAATCGGGGTTTTGAAATCAGGATCTTGTGGGTTTGAAATTGGGGTTTTGTGGGTTGGAAATTGGGGTTTTGAGGGTTGGAAATCGGGGTTTTGTGGGTTTGAAATTGGGATTTTGAGGGTCGGAAATTGGGGTTTTGTGGGTTTGAAATCAGGGTTTTGAGGGTTTGAAATTGGGGTTTTGAAATTGGGGTTTTGAGGGTTTGAAATTGGGGTTTGAAATCGGGGTTTTGTGGGTTTGAAATTGGGGTTTTGAGGGTCGGAAATTGGGGTTTTGAGGGTTTGAAATTGGGATTTTGTGGGTTGGAAATCGGGGTTTTGTGGGTTGGAAATCGGGGTTTTGAAATTGGGGTTTTGTGGGTTTGAAATTGGGGTTTTGA